ATTGTAACTGAAAAATTCAGTGTTGTTTTTTATGCTCTTTCAAAGCAACAGTTACACAATACAACACAATTCATATTCTTTGTTATGTTATTATTTATAATGTTACATTAATAACAAGAATTATTCACATCCTTTCACATGTTCAAGTTATTAAATGACTTGGTTAATATTACCAAGCCCTTAAAACCTTAGTACAGTTTCCATGTTATTCTTATCAAAAACTCTTTTATCAATTGAAAAAAACTATGCCTCAGCATAAACCCCCTTATCAAACCACAAATTGATCACTCGTTGGCACTCTATCGATAGGAATACCTAGTAATTACGTACTCTGGGAGCTCGAAAACAAGTTAACGTAACGTTATTGTATCAAAAAATTACAACTTTGTAGCGGATAAAACCGAGAGAAGGTTTAAAACGCCTGAAAAATGTTCTTCGATTCATTTGAAATAAATCTCATGAACCACTACCAGAAAAGAAACGACATCGCAGGTCAGTCAGTTTAAGTCGAGTAAGTAAAGTTTGGCTCACATTTGATCCACCAAAGAAGAAACAATAACTTTCAACATACTAGAGAAACGTAAACACAGAATAAAGTGGGTGTAATAAACTAGAAAAGGTCGCAAAGTCAAACGGAAAACAAAAATGGCGTCAACACAAACGGATCAAGAGTAGATCAGTTCCTACGAAGTTTGAGGACGCGTGGTTCAAAGCAGTTAGGCTACATTTCTTTGAAATATTTCTGCAACGTTCACTTTCTTCCTACTCTTCACGATTTATGAAAACAAAGCATTATACTCACAACATTTTCGCGCGGATCCGACGATTCATCCGGCCTCCACAAAGTTTGAGCTTTAGTGAAGTACAAACTGTACTGTGTCACATGATGATGGCGTGACCACCCTGCGTGCGCATGCTTGCGCTTCCCATGCGCTCTGTCGAGGCCGTGTAACGAAGGCTCTGTATGGGCCCGCAAACCCAGTTCTTTGTAAGGGCAGGTTGTAACATGTCAGAAAAAATCCCAGAAGATAGGGGATTTCACTGTTTCCTATCCGTACAAGAATTTGCCAATAGATGAACATACATAGAGAGATCGCCAGAAGCTTGCCTTAATATGATGGATTACTGACGCCATTTCATTTATGACTCGGGGGTACTGGAGCGGAGCAATGACAAGATTGATGGCGAGCTAAAACTATTGCTGATATCCCAGTAAAAATAGGATTTTTATATATCTTCAATGATCGCCGATCATCGCAGAAATCTAAGACGCGTCGGGGAAATAGAAACGCTCCTGATTTTCCCGATTTGTCATCGACCGTCTCAGAGACACAGACAGTCAAGTTAATAATATTATCAGTCAGAAAACTGTGGGAATGTCGGAAACTGTGAAATGTACGACCATCTAGGGTCTTCCCGTTACATGAAAACTAGCCTTAAGGCTATGTAGGGTCGTGTCGGGGTGTACTTAGATGCTGATCACCCTTTGGGGTTAGAAGGTTAAAAGGAGGTAGTAAGAGGTCTCATAGGCGGCGGCAGACCGCCGGTAACTGTCTTTATATAAAACCTCTGAGAATGTTTATCGTTCATGTTAGCTAACTTGACACGATATGAAAGAATATACCGCTGACATGCACCTAACATAACTCAGGGCTCTCGGAAAGAGATTATAAACAAGTTTTGATCTCTTGCTCTTGGTTTATAGGAGGGTCAACAAACACATGAAAGTCCAATAAAAATTCACTCTCCGCGAAGTGCAAAATAACACCTTACTTACACAAAAACACCCAACGAATATACGAATATACAAAGCTCAATTTACAATAGGATTTCCTAGCGCTCTACCTTCTTTTAAAACTAGTAATAACCACAGATTAGGAAGTGCGTGCGAGGGCTATGCATGATTTGTTTCACTGAGGTTAACGATTTCATTGTAAAACAGTGGCGTTGTGTTCTTTTTCCATTTTGGGCATTTATATTTGCAGCGCAATAAAGGGTTGCATAGTGTGGGTGATTGTTTTCCCATAAACGAGACAAAGGGACCTAAGAGTGGTTTTACTGACCTTGTGAAACAGTAACACCAGTTTGATTATACACCAGTTCTATTTTGTGTTGGGTTTGACCGCCACTTCTGCATGAACTGCACGTGATTCTTGACATTCTTAGCTTCAAGAAGGCGAAATTTACATATTATTTGAGCCCTTCAACTACATTAAAGATCATTGACTATGGAACGTGAAACAGCTATGCTTTGGTGAGAATTGTCTTCCGCTTGGTGTTGGTTTCTAGCGGTCAGAGCGCCTGTGCTCAAATTACTGCTGCTTCGTGTTTGTCTCGCGTGGTCAAAGCGCCTATGCTCAAATTACGTCCTTTCATTTCATTGGTTCTTAGTGTCCCTAGGGACAAATATTTGGAAGGACGACTTTTTTTGTTAAATTCGAGTCACTGCAAGGCTATATAACTGCCGCGCATGCGTTTGTAACCAATGTTGAGATTAGGATTGCGGGCTCCGCTGGTCGCCCGCAATTATTCTAGAATCCTATAACTGGGTCATAGTTGTTTATCTTTCCTGATCCTGACCAACGTTGAAGCGTAATTCAATTTTTCTCTCATTATATGCTTAAATAATGATTATCTCAACCTCTTTTATTCCTTGACGCATGAAAATATGAAGAACAGCCTCCATACTGGAGTACGTTGTACTAACCAAGCTTAAACAGTCTAAAAATAACTAGCTTACTAGATAACTGTGAGTGATTAACCATCAAGGCTATTAAAAACTGCGATATTCTTAAAGGAGACTAACACGGGCTTTTGGATGAAGGTATATCATTTGCTGAAACGCTACGTGGCGTGGATGAATGACACTGAATAAAACAACTGCTGGTTTACAATGTTTTCTTCACGGACGAGGGGAGTCATTAGTTAAATTGAAGTTCTACACAAGGGGGCTTATTGGCGAGGGGCGTAATAGGGAGGGGCATTTAGAGGCGAACGAGGCCTATCAAGGAGAGGGCTTATTAGAGAGGGGCCTGGTAGGGGGCCTAGTATGGAGGCTTGTCAGAAAAGGGTTAAAGACAATAAAGATCATTTTTCAAGGGAAACAGAACAATGCATACTCTGGTTTAATACGTGAAGCTGTTGTTTAATGCATAGTAAGTGAAACTGTTGTTTGATGCATAGTAAGTCAAACTGTTATGTGATACATAAGAAGTCAAACTGTTGTTTCATACAGTAATCTCTCTTTTTCTAAGGAGGAACTAGATCTTAAAATTGGTGAAGGCGTTCTGCTATTGTCAATATTCAGTTCCTGTAACGGACTTTCAACTTTGACTTTCGGTAACATATCTAGTAGGTCGTCATCATCGCTGAGTTTGTGTCTCAAAAAGAATGACTGGCGCGCCACTTCATATAGGTTTGTCGCCAAATGTTTGCTTGTGTGTTCCACCATTTGCGAAAACAGACTGTCCTCTTTCTGGAGCAAAAGGTAAGGTTCGTCAAACTCGACAAGTCTCCCCTCGTCAAGTACCTACGATTAAGGTGAAAAACACAACAAAAGTAAGCAAAAAGTGAAAGTTTATTATGTGTGCTGGTCAATGAATATGTAAGGCGAATACCCTTAAAACTCCTGTATGCAAAGAGATGCAAAATTTTGAGCTTGAGAATTGAGTAGAGTAAGATGCTAGGTATTTGTCAACAGTGAGGAACGAAGAAGAAGTCCGAGTAACTGGTGGGAATAAGAGCCCGACACCTTCCAATATACGTTTGAAATCAAACGGCAAAGAGTTCATCTTATCTCAGCCAAAAAACAACGTTTATAAACATATGGCTAATTCGTTCTTCTTTCAAAGGGGTCTGTAGAATGCGATACAGACAGCTGAGATAGGAACAACTAGAGGCGAACAAGACAGGAAGTTAAAGGCTGGAGCGGCAAGGTCTCCGCCTGTCCGCCTCATAAAAACTTCAACCACGAAGAGAAGAGAGACGTTTAACTTCGAAACATAGCCAAAATGAGAGATGACATCAATCACAAGGACGTACTGCCTATCCAAACACTGATCACGCAACTTCATACAGAGCATATTGTGCACTCAAACTTACCATTACTCTGTCAGAGTCCATGATAGTGTTAAGTCTGTGAGCAATAGTGAGTACTGTGCAGCTTTGGAACTTGCTGCGAATCGTTTCCTGAATCAAAGCGTCCGTGCTAACGAAAAATTTTTTAAAAAATTAGTTACGCAAATGAAACAAAGAGACGTTTGTGGTCTTTCATTCCAGGATTTATTGTTGGCATGTGCAATGAAGCAAAAGATTTATTTAAGGGGCTACAATAAACCCTGGTTGTCCAATTTTAAACCCTAAGAAAGAATTTCCACAGAAAGTCATTTGCAATATACGCTATTCTTTGCTTTCTCAACCGTCAAGGGTTTCATTCTCTTAAAAGCCAGCACAACGCACTCCGCAGAATTAATTTGTTGTTATTATCATTATTTTTTTTTCCAATTAGTTTTTGGCACATTTGAAGTATGCATATACTGCAGCATTATGGAGCTAGTCGCAGTTTACACTGCTAGTGCAATAAACTAATCACGCAGCGAGAAATAAGTTATCTGAGCCGGAGTACGAAACGTTAGTCTGGTTTCTTCGTGTGTTCAGGATTGTCCCATAATTCCATTTAAAATAACAAAAATACATACGTGTGATCTACATTCGCTGTTGCTTCGTCAATGATAAGTATTTTGTTGTGCTTCAGGACCGCGCGCGCTAGACATACAAGCTGCCGCTGTCCAACGCTGAAATTCGAGCCTCCCTCCGTTAGTTTAGTGTTCAGACCATCAGGCAATTCAGTAACTGTTTCCTTGAGTTGCACCTGGGAAGGAGACATGCGACAACACAGACTTTTAGTTCACGCAACTGTTTCCTTTCACTAGAAATATAATTCTCAGATTTGTATTTTATTTCCATGCTTTTATTTTCAGTCTTTGTTTCCTTGTAAAATACCTCTTCTAAGGCATTCCAAACTTCTGTATCATTGTATTGATTAAAAGGATCCAAATTTTTCCGTAGACTTCCGCTAAATAGGATGGGGTCCTTGATAAAAGAAAAAAATATATTGACATAGGTAAGAAATATAACTTAATACAAGAAAAAGAAAGAAAAAACAGTCTGGTTCCGAGGCCACTGAAAAAAATATTCAAAAATTCACTTAAAATGTTACCATCAATCTCAGCAAACCATGAACACGTCCAAATGTCCGAAATTATTTTTTCGTGTAACCATTGACATTCGAAATTATGAGATGTGAGCAAATTTCGTAGTCCCAAACTAACCAGTGCTACTGTGTACAGTTAAGTTTTCTCTCGATTAAGTCGTTCTTCTCGACACAGAGTAATTCCCAAAATATTTCTAAATTTCAAAGAAATTTCAAAGAAATTTCAGAGAAAAAAATCCAGACTGGTGGAAAGTGCCGTCGAGTTTTTGAAGCGCAGTTGATTGGTTGAATTTGGTTATCAGTCATTATACACCCAAAATATTTTATCCTGAGGTACGTGGAGTACATTTCCTTGCCGATGTTGTTTACTTGGACGACCAAAAAAAGAGCTGCTTCACATTTGTAGGGATTTAAAATTAAACAAAGAAGGAGATGCTGCCATTCGTCCTCTCACATGCAAGCCCATAGGTGATTCTTTCACGAAATAGGCAACATTTCCCACATTTTCCCAGACTCTTATTTGAGCTTATCTCTGACTCGGAGCCGAATTTCACCTCCAATGACTTAGGATTGCGTTACCTGTGGAATGATGGATAGGCTGCTTCTCAAGTCACGTAATGAAACATCCGTGATGGGAACAGCGTCTATACGAACTGTGCCTTCTGGTTCAGCCATCCTGAATAACGCCGCCATTAATGATGATTTACCAGCTCCAGTTCTGCCCACAACACCGACCTCGGAGAACAAAATAAAACCAAACAAGAAAACAGACGTCACTTTGAAACACAATCTCACGTTCTTTTCGGCCCTTGGTTTCAAGTCAGAATGTTCCATTTTAACTCACACACCATAGACTGTTTACCATAAACGCCTTGCCAAGTCTCTTTTCCGTCTTACTCTCCTATATGTAAGAACTTTAAGATAGAAACCCGGCGCAAAACAGAATGTTATAAAAACGCTATGCAAAGTGCGATCCGTAGACGGCAAGTAAATCGTTTAAGCTGATGGTAGCTTCCCAGTTCAAAATACTCTTCCATTTGAATGCCTGCCCTTTTGGTTTCTGTTTTAAACTCTCCAGGGTTTTCAACCACAGAAATACGATAATCATTGAGGAGGGGCGAA